GAATATATAACTGACAGAGCAATATATTTCAGGGATTATTGGGTTCATGCTTTTCAAAAACGGGAAAGTGATGATAAAAGGTCAGGACAAAATTTGAACTTGATTTGAACTTTGATTTCTTAATTCTTTTTAATACGTTTGTAGTAAGTCCCGATAAAAATAAAATAAAATATATAAACAAAAATAAAAAAAGAATTCAAATTAAAATTTGCGCTTTCCTTTAAGACCTTTATCTCTTTCTCTCTCTCTCTCTCTTTCTTTCTGTCTATATGCTTTTATCTCAACTAACGAGAAGACAACCCTCAAATAAAAAAAAAAGAAAAGATTGAACCTGGTCCAAAATGCCGGAAGTTTGCAGGATCAGAGCCTAATTATTTATGTTTGAAAAATACCAAAAATCATGGCAGCTACACAAACAACTTCCGTTATGAAAAAAAAAATAAAATAAAATAAAAAAGAAAGGAACGCCAGAAAATAAAATAATTTGGACAATCAGAAAAATTGACACAACGTGAATTTTTGATGATTAGCCGTAACCTAAGTTCCCGCCATATACGCGGAGCCTATTCAAAATGGTATAAAACCTGATATCTCAGGGCTACCGGCGAATGAGATGGAGAGAAGAGGCCAGAACCACTGCAGGAGATGACGGAACAAAAGAACGCAGCCATGTGTGATGCGTGAAGAAGCAGTCAAGAGATCATCTGCTACTGACATTTCCGCCCGGTTTCAGAGCCGAGAAGAAACATCGCAGATAGACATCTGACCTAATTTCTCATATTACTACTACCCCTTATCATTGGTCTAAATCGCAACTACCGAAACGGAAATTTCTTCAGACTACCATCAGTATCCGCTTTGTTAACGAACTTTTTGCTACGCTGAACACCAAAGGACTGACTCACCACTTTAAAGAAAATAAGTAAATTATATTTATTTTAAACCCATGAGGCCATTTTATTTCCAAAGTTTCCGATAAAATTATCCTCCACCTATCCACACGGGCAACATTCTGAATATTTATCTCGCGCGTTATGGACAGAATCGCCGTAACTTAGCGTATCTCTTCAGTGTTTCGTTGGAATGGGTTGGATTTAACGGTGATAATTACCAAAATATGAACCAACTTCGTAAAATATGTAATTTGTGGAGGGAAAGATAAGGAAGAAAATGATACAGGATTCATAAAATACCACTAAAAAACTTATGTTGACATTTTCTTCCGTAAATATTTTGTGAAAGATAAGGTTGCCAAAATGAAAATACGGGAAGACTGGAGTTTCCCAACTAGGGGACATCGGATACTGTAGACAGATTCTCAAGTATGGAATCTGCGGAATTTCTTAGGGACGGATTTCCATCCAGGGGTTCAGGCACCCATAAAGCTGAATGATATCAGTTTGCTATATTTTGAGTGGCAGGAATTCATATGTAACAGATTATCATTCGAGAATTTTATACGGTCACTTCAAAATAACAGTTCAATTTGATACGGCAATTTCAAAATAACAGTTCAATTTGATACGGCAATTTCAAAATAACAATTCAATTTGATACGGCAATTTCAAAATAACAGTTCAATTTGATATGGCAAATTCAAGATAACAGTTCAATTTGATATGGCAATTTTAAAATAACAGTTCAATTTGATACGGCAATTTCAAGATAACAGTTCAATTTGATACGGCAATTTCAAGATAACAGTTCAATTTGATACGATAATTTCAAAATAACAGTTCAATTTGATCACCAATTTCAAAATAACAGTTCAATTTGATCACCAATTTCAAAATAACAGTTCAATTTGATACGGTCATTGCAAAATAACAGCTTAATTAGTGCCTTCGATTAGAAAAGAAATGTGTTTTAAGAAAAAGAAATCGAAAAAAAAAATCCAGCAATAATTTTCAGTCGTGTAAATATCTTCGCTGCTTTTTTTTAAATGTATCTTTGCATTAGTTCAATTTTGCTTATTCTTTGGAATAAAACATCAAACAAATCTGGCTCTGCAATTCAGAAAAAACAAAAAACAATTTTTTTCATTAAAAATAAAAGCAAAATATATGCGTAATTTTTTAAAATTAATTTAAAAGAATAATCGATTCTGAAAAGGTTGGATGCTTAGCAATCCTAGTGAAAATTGACATTATCATTTTTTTTAATCCATTAAAAAATTAAATTTAATATTCTCAGGATCCTCTTTCCTTCGTGCGCATGCGTTATTGCATCAACGTAAACATAAATTTAATCCGATGAAATCCTAAAAAAAACAAAAAAAAAAAAAAACGAAACGCGTCGCACGAAAACTTTTTTTCCACTTTGTCATACTTAGATAATTATTCTATTATTCTATTATTCCCTTTATTCTATTATTCCATAATTATTTCTACCGAACCAATTCTTTTCTCCTTTTTATTTCCCATTGTATCTGCTATTTTCTATCATAATTTGTTTCTAAAATTGTTCTTGATGTATAAACTGTTTATATATCGTTTCCCACTCCAAGTAATACACAAAACAATAACCAAAACAAAACGAATTGAAGAAAATCTCTCCTTATAAAAAAGAAGAAAAAGCCTCTCTTCCACAGCTATAACCATGTGTAGATATGAATGAAATATATAAATTGGTTAAGATTTATATTTTTTTCTCTTTTTAATTCTTCCTTTGTTTATTACAATACTTTCAGTTGCTATGCTTTTCTATTTTGAGGTTAAATTGCAAAAAAAAAAAAAAAAAATTAAATCGAACATCCTCGAAGTCTTGAACTTACATTCTATCTGTTGGCTGTGGTTTGCAGATGAAATCTTTTCAGGTTGTCACACATCTTTACTAGTGTTTTCAACTTTTCTGTTATTTCTTTTTCTTTTCTTTTTTCCCATCACAACGCCTTCATCTGTGTTTCTTCAATTTAATTTGAAAGTCGAAGAATATATCGATTGAACGAATTTTAACAGGCAACATAAAATGGCGAAAGAAAAAAATGTAAGGAAAAACTGAAAATATTTTCTCACAAACTGGGCCAACTTTATTTTCTTTTTATTCTTTATAATCATTACTTCCGATTCTGCATGCCTTGGTTGGCAATTAAAAACAATGAAAAAAAATGCTTTCAAGTATAAATATTTATAGACCTGGCATTTTAGAAGCAGGAATATCTGGCACTTCAAAATGAAAAAAAATAGATAATGCTTTGGCTTTTAAGTATACTGCTGTACCTTACAAGTGGGAGAGAGGACTGCAGCGAGTAACCTATCTAGTGAGCTTGATTGTAAACTGAATAGACAGCAGAACAGGGACTAGGAGGGACAATAAGGAAACAAACATGGCTAAGATCTGAAGTTGCATAGAACCATGATCGCCCACATCCTAAAGGGATATATAGAAGAAGAAAGCTAGAAAAAAAGGTTTCCCTAAGACTACTTTCTTTTAATCACCGTAGAGAAACGTTTTGACCTAACAGCATGGCTGATACTAACCTTTAGGAGAATGACCCATTGCACCTTTTCGGGCTATCATTTTCTGCTGACATGAAGTGGAAAGATTATATTGAATAGATTTTCTAGGCAATTTTTTCTAGCCCAAATCTATCATTTATGTGTCTACGTTCGTTCATTCAAACTTAAAGCACCTGGTATTCCTAAGCGGTCACCCATCTAAGTATTGACCAGGCTTGACGTTACTGTCATATAGTCTGGCGCTCCTGCTATGTATTAATAAATTCTTGACAAAGTCTAAGGAAGAATCTGCAATGTTATCCGTCCTGACTTGGTATCCCGGCTTCAGTCACTTTCTAATCGCCGGAACGTAGCTTTCCTGTGCCCTTTTAGTAAATATTTTCATGGTAATTGTTCTGATGAACTCTATGGTACTTGGACTTTATCGGTTTACGCGCGGTACTAGATTGGCGGCAAGATCTCATCATTTTACAGTTAAAATGGTGAGATATAGACGTAAGTTCTATGTTACCATTTTATTTTCACTCACGAACTTCCGGCTTGTGGAACTTTCTTCCGGTTTCTTGCTTTCCAGTCAGCTTTGATCTTCAAAAATGTAAATGCTTAATGTCTTAATTTCTGTTCTCTCTCCTTAATGATATTTTTCTTTTCCTTCACACTTAGCAACACCTTGCGTCTTGGTAGCTTTATTTCCTTGTTTGGGGTGAAATGCTTAAGAAAAAGCTCTATCATTGTTCTCTAGATAGCTAAATCGTATCACGCCGAGTTGAAAGAACCTACTTGTTTGAAAACAGCTTTCGAAACCCAGCCATTTACTTCGTCTCAAACACCGAAGAAAATCGTAAAAACTTATTTGGATACATTTCTAGATTATCTTGAGCTTCCCATTTGTTTCTCAGGGGATTTTAGATTCTGCTTTCTTAAACATGCACAACTGTTTGGGTAGCGTAACGGTTATTGGCACAGAAATTTGAATCGGAAAGCAGAGTTCAAATTCTAACCGAATCTGTAACGTCCACTTTTGCACTAATGTCCCTGAAAAAGGCATGAATCCATCTCTCCCCGCCGCTAGCTATGGGTTAAGTAACAGAGTAGACAGGGCTCCTTTTAGCTTTGGGTGGCAGCCATAGGAGGAGGACGATTCAGAATTCAAAATGGTGGAGAAGGAAATGGGAAACAACTCCAATATCTTTTCCAAGAAGAAAGCATTTCAAAGAAGTTGTGGAGAGCCTTGATCGACTACATTTTAAAGAAACATGGCATTTAAAAAATCAAAATAATCTTGATTGATTGTTTGATTTGTGTTTTACGGCTTATCAACCTTTTGCAGGTTATTTAAAGCCAGAAAATATTTTTTAATTGTAAGGACTTCATAATTTACTGATTAACTCATAGATGGTGGGAGAAGAGGTGGATTCATGCCTTTCTCAAGGGTATTTGCACATAAATGAATATAACGAACCCAACTGGAATTGAAACTCGACACTTTGATCTCCAGTTCTGAGCCCTTACCCATTAGACCACCCACGCATTCAAGCTTAAAGCACTTGGTATTCCCAAACGGTCATCCATTAAGGTATTGACCAGGCTCGACGTTGCTTAACTTCGGTGATCGGACGGGAATTGGTGTTTTAGCGTGTTATCGCCGTAAGGCAAAAATAATCTCGATAAAAACATCGAAGTCATAAGCGAACACAATTTTGTTTGAAATGGTTGACGAAAATAAGAATAAAAATACAGGGAGCCATTATTTATATTGTTTACAGTGGAACTTCAATGTCCTCAATTTTGTTATTAGTATCAGACCGTTACGCCCACCGGTCTTCTTCAGGGTGTTTAGTACTGAAAGAGACAAGAAAGAAATTAAATTACATTCTTCTTAAAATAAGTTTTATTAAAAATTATTTGTTTTCCTTTGTTTTAATCAATTTCGGTACAGGAATACATTTTCTTTTAAAGCATGCAATCAGGATTGAACTTGTAAGGTCAGTTTACTATTCCTTGTGTAACACTAAATGGGATATATATATATATATATATATATATATATATATATATATATATATATATATATATATAAAAAGAGAGAGAGAGAGTGTGTGTTTGTTAGACTGACTTTCTATGAAAGGATCATAATCTGGGTTGCCGGACGGGATGAAGTCATTTTTAGGACTTTAAGAAAGATAATATTTGCGTTTCCAAAATGTGCATCGGGTCCTCTTGATATTTCGTTGCTTATTCACATCATCTTTGCAATATCAGGACTAAATATGGTTCACTTTGTGCATCTGAAACTTATGTTAAGAATTTTATGAACCAATAAATTAGAAAGAAATGTAATCCAATAAAATAAAATAAAGTTAGTTGAGGCGAAATAAAAGAAGAAGTTTTTGTAAGCTAAAGAAAATAAGAATAGAAACAATATCGTGCCATTCTTCGAGTTGTAAAAAGACTGTAAGACTTTGCCTTATAAAGAGAAACGTTTTTGTTAATTAAATATTGATTTTGGCACTTAGATTCTTGAAAGCAATCTTTCATTCTTCGTATATTTGTCTTTCTACCTAATTTACAGAGAAAGAGATGTGGATAGAGAGTAAGAGAGATGGGGGGGAGGGAGAGAGTTGAACATATATCAAGTAATCTAAAAATTCGTAATCTTCGAGCCCCAATGTAAAACGGCTTCAAAAGTGTAGGTTTTGATCTAAGTTACTCTCTATTGGCAAATGAAATATTTAAATAAATATATTTTCCAAATCAAACTTTTACGTGTGTAGTATATTATTTTTTTAAAATTAAAACTCTGTAATGTTAGAATAATGAAAATTTGTCTTTTCTGTGAATGAAAATATTTTGATGTTTTGCGATGAGTCTATAAACTCTAAATAAACAGAAGGACAAACACACAGATGTTGGCATCACAAATCTAGAATGCTGCTGCATATATATATATATATATATATATATATATATATATATATATATATATATATATATATATATATATATATATATAAGACACATTGACATGCTAAAAGTAATGGAATGTCAGCATGAAAAGATAATGGTTGCTGACATCGTCATACCTTGACGTCATAGAAATGCTCAAACCTATATCAGTTGTACTCAGGCATCAGATGAGTCAACGTGAACACAGATTAGGCTAAGAGTCGTGAATTATTACAGCATGAACAGTGTAGGGATAGGGGATGCCAGACGGATAGATGACTCCATTTCTTAAGCTGTTTGATTTACGGGGGTAGATTGTCCTTGGGGACACTTGGCCCATTGGATAAAAGCGTTGGTTGAAGTAGTCCAAAAGTGACTTGACCCAAAGAGTTGTGAGTTCAATACCGGACCACAACAGAGGTGAACAAAAAGTTGGGGAGTTGAATTACTAAAGGGAATTAACTGAAACAGATATCTAGAAAAGGCATGGTACGTGGAACTAGAACAATCTACTCCGGTGGATGAAATAAAAGATTCGGTTCGAAATTTCAACGTATATCACCTGAAGAAGACCGGAGCGTACAACGGTTGAAAAGTCGTGAATATGAGAATAAAGATGAGGACAGCAGTCTGAACAATGTAAATAGGTATACCCCTTCTCAGAAATATAGACAAATTTTTTATTAATTTTTCTTTCATTTTTATTCTGTTGATTATTACACCGCGTGTAAATAAGATATGATAATCTTATTTTTTGTTTTAATTGCTTAGGGGAAGCATTTCTCATTATTATTCACTTTAGTCAAATATATGTATGTTGCTTTTTATCCTAATACTCAGTTCGTCATTCCCTGACCGTTAAGTAAGCAATTCAGAAATTAAGAATAAGACAAGGGATTCGACACTATTTACATTATTCGGACTATTGTCCTCATCTTTGTCGCCATATTTTCCATATTTATTTGTACGCTCCAGCCTTATTCAAGTGGTTGGAATGTCGAACTGAGCCCTTTATTTCGCTCACTGGGGTAAACTGTTCTAGTTCCACGTGCCATATCTAAGGAATGGAGAGTCATAAATTATGGAGAGTCGTTGATCTCCAACGTCATGAAGGGACATGGCACAAAGAAGAGAAAGAAGATGACGTAATTAATTTTCGGCGGAACCTAGTCGTTAATGAAATAATTTTTTTTTAAACTTAGGCACCTGTACAGGTGACAAAATCCCAAAAGAGAATCAGACGCTCGTTTTTACTTTCAATTGTTACCTTTTATTCATTTCTGTCTCACGTTCTTGTGAAATGTTGATTTATGTTGTCTCGAGTTCCCTAATTATGTCTTTGTAATAATTATAATAACAATAATAGTAGTAGTATTAATAATAGTAGTAGTAGTAGCCATTATAAAATTCGTAGTAGTAGTAGTAGTAATAATATTAATAGTAACAATAGTAGTAATAGTAGTCATTATAAAAATCGTAGTAGTAGTAATAATAATATTAATATTAATTGTAACAATAGTAGTAGTAGTAATAATAATAAAAAGTAGTAGTAGTCATTATAAAAATCATAATAGTAGTAATAATAATATTAATATTAATAATAGCAATAATATTAGTAGTAGTAATAATAATAAAAGTAAAAGTAGTCATTATAAAAAGTAATAATATTAATATTAATAATAACAATAATAATAATAACAGTAGTAGCAATAATAATCATAGTATTAGTAGTAATTATAAAAATGTTAGTAGTAGTAGTAGTAATAAACAAAATGATTCACGTAATTCTTTCAATATTTTTCAACAGTTAAAAAAAGAGCGCTATTTAAGAAAAGATAAAGAAAAGAAAAAAAAAGTGTTTGACAATGTTAAACAATATTTCAACAGAATGTCTGCTTTCTTCATATTATATTGAAACAATTTTCTTCAACTATAAAAATATATAAATCTACAAAAAAATGATCATAAGTCTTTGTATAAACGTTGCTTGCCTCGGAATACAAGAAAACTGCTGTCGTGGTAATGAACGCGTCAAAACGAATGAAACGCCGTCCTTGTGAAAGCATTCAACTGAAACATGCTTAAATATGATGGTGATCTTGTTCATCTTGGAACTTTCCGTTAGTTGATTAGTTACTAAGAGGATTTAATCAAAAGTAGTAGTAACAACAACAACAACAACAACAACAACAGCAACAACAACAATAGTAGTATTTATAAAAAGAATAGCAGTAGTAATAATAATATTAATAATAATAATAGTAGTAATAGTAGTAGTAGTAGTATTTATAAAAAGAATAGCAGTAGTAATAATAATAATATTAATAATAATAGTAGTAATAATAATAATAATAATAGTAGCAATAGTAAATATAAAAATAATAGTAGTAATAATAATAATAGTGGTTATAAAATAATAGTAGTAGAATAATAATATTAATAATAATAGTAGTAATAATAATAGTAGTAATAGTAAATATAAAAAAATAATAACAATAGTAGTAATAATAATAATAGTGGTAGTGGTTATAAAAATAATAGTTGTAGTAATAATAATATTAATAATAATAATTGGAGCAATAGTAAATATAAAAAAGAGTAATAGTAGTAATAATAATAGTAGTAGTAATAATAATATTAATCATAGTAATAAGAGCAAATATCCAGGTACCTTTAATGATTTCTCTCGAGAAATAATGTGGAAATATGAGTCTTAAGTAGAGAAAAACGTTTTAAAAACAGGTGTTCTTTGTTTCCAGTGTGCGATAGATATTAACACAACATTTCAACGCATGCGCAACACACGCATATATATATATATATATATATATATATATATACACACAAAACACGCATACATATGTATATTTGTAAGTGTCTATGTGTGTGTGCATGTGTATAAGTACGGGCATTTCTTGTAAGACATGGGAAGAATAAGGCAAGATTTATACATTACTGCCGAGTAGTTATTGGATCGCTTACAGATGTCCTATCATATTCTTCATCTATCCAATCTGATGTTCTGTCGACGCACACGCGCGCACACACACACACATATATATATATATATATATGCATGCGCGCAACTATACAGTACGTTCACACACACATATGCAAATCTATATGCGTTCACAAATGTGGAATCCCAAATATTCGTAGGTGTTCAGCTATTATGAACCAGCAATGGATAAAACCAATTCCAGCACAGCCGACTGATTCTCCCGGTCTTTGCGCAGGTAGTTTTTGGCTGCGTGGTGTTTCCCGTGCGACTAAAACATCTTTGCAACCTCCACCCCCAAGTCTCTTCCCAGCAGACTTCCACCGAGTCGATCGGAGTCTATCATTCCACATAACCAGTGCAAATTTTCAGTTGCAAATACATTTCATTTATCGATTTTTAATGAGTGGGGCGTGCGTTTACATTCCTTAAGAAATCAGTCATGCAACTTTTAGTATCTTCTTTATTGACGTCTGCCTATGTGTGCTCAGGCATATCAAGGTTAAGCAACATATATATATATATATATATATATATATATAACTTAAACAGTCGAAAACATGAGGAAAAACTAACAACAACCAAAACAACCCCTGTCTAAAAATGGCTAAAGAAATGCTCGAAAGAGCTTATAACAGAGAAAATTATGAAAATTTTCTATTCCCCCTTACTCCTGCAAAATTAAAAAACAAATGAAGGCTGGAAA